TCAGCTGTCAAAAAGTGGTATGGCCCCAGCTCATAAAATAACACAATAAACCTCAAAGGCACAATCCTATCTCAATACATATGAACACATGCTACATAAAACAAGAAAATATATAAACATGGCTATTTAAAAGCCAGTTGGAAAGCATAATAACCCAAAATATACATCACACTATCTTAACAAAATAATGTTTAATGATGACAGTTTAAGTTTGCAATTACATGACATCCTTGTGCAAAATATCACTTCTACTTATGGCAAAAGATTTAAAACTGCAAAAACAACTGAAGCATTTATTCATTTATATGCCATTTCAAGATGAAAAACCCTGCCAAGGGCAACACTGTAGTAGTGTAGCACATCTTTCTCTTTTTTTTCTTTTAAAGAGCAGTAAAGGTAAAAAGAAGTTTAAAAAAACACAAAACCAAGGCAATATCTACATCTACTGGCAATATCTAATGATCAATGAATCCGCTACCGCAATAAATTTGCTTAAAACAAAGCTCTTCCTTTAATGGTTTTTATGCAGCAGGCTCCCAATAGGAAGAGGGGATGACTGATGCTGGCTTACAATATGGCTCTGTAGTAAACTATGCCAGTATTACTACCAAATCACCTCTTATGAAACTCCCTTTCTGCCTACCATGCAATCAATTTAACAAAGACCTAAGCAGTTCAAGCATTCAAATAAATCCCATTCTCCTCCTTCCCCTCTACACTTACTAGAAGAATGAAAATTCACACGTCATTGGAACAGTCCCAGAAATTATTTTATCTGTTTACTGTTATTGACACGATTGAATTGGAGTCAAGGAAAAGGAGCAATGGCTTCACACTTCCACAATACGTGAGAAATGAAGATGAGTACCAAATCCAAGGCACAACACTGAGTTATACCTGACTGCAGAAGCTTGCTCACATCACGTCTAAAAGAGCAGAAATAGAACATTGCAAGTAAGAAATTTCCTATCAGTTTTCTCCCCATAATAGAATACCCTGTTCACCACACTACAGGGTTTTACATAAAGGCAAACCTGTGGCAAGAGAAAGTCCATCATCCATCCAGAATAAACACTACTTTCAGCTTGATAATCTCCAAAACAAGTAGACTGACATAAATCTACAAGGGAAATAAAGAAAATACAGTAGGGAGAAGGCAGCAAACTACTGAGAAGCCCCATTTCTCCAATCTGGCATCTCTCTCCTCCATCCTGAAGTAAAACCAGTTCAATCACACTCATATCACAGAGGTGGCAATCATGGAGATGGCTTATTTACCCTAAAACAGAACGTGAAACTTCTTCACCTCACCACTACACCCCCGCTACAGGCAAGTTCAGCTTCCAGTCCATCAGGAACAGAATAGCCTGTAAATTCTTTGGGGCAAAGAGCACCTTTTTGTTATGTACTTGGAGAACAACCAGAACAACAGTATCCACAGCTGTCAGGAACTACTTCAATATTATTAGAGTGACCTTGTCTTGCTTCATGATCCAACCACGCTCTCCAGGTAAAACACTTGTACAGTTTTCCTATAGTTCTGGCTAGCCAGCATGTGGCAAACACATCTCCAGAAGCAACCTTCTCTTCTGGAGGCCAACATCCTGAAACCACTGATCTTCTACATTCCTCAAAGTTGTGACCATTCAAAACTAGGACTTTGCACCCATGCTGAGTGCAAAAAGCAACAAAATCAATATGAAAATACAAGAAAATGGTTAACAAAATACAGAAAACATGAAGCAATTCTTCTGCAAGCTGGAAAGAAAGAGCAAAACTAAGGATGACAGACAGAAAGGATGACTGATTGTATGACTGAGACTACCTCAGTTTTTTAACTGACATGATTATATAAACAGGATGTACTGGTATTTTTAAGAGTAGAAATAAGAAAAGATACACCAACTGGTACAACATGATTTTGTAATTTATTTTAAAAACACAGCAACACAGAATCACATAAGTTCGAAGAGATGTTCAGAGAGAAGTCATGTAGTCAAACCTCCAGTTCAAAGCAAGTCTAGTGAGAACAGGGTGTTTGGGGGCTTTTTCTAGTTGAACTTTGAGCGCTTCCAAGGATGGAGATTCCAGTCTCTCTGGACTCCCTCCTGTGTTTGATAATCCTCATGGTAACTTTGTTTGGGCCTTTTTTTCTTATACCGAGTTGCAACTTCCCTTGTCCCAGACTGTCCCCACTCCCTCTTGTCCTTCCATTGTGCACCTCTGAGATGAGTTTGGCTCTGTTCTCTCCCACATCCCCCGATTTGGTAGCTGTAAACAGCAGTAAGATCCCCCTTGGGCTTTCTCTTTGTAAGGCCGCCCAATATACCAAATCCAGTGAACTCTGCCCTTAAAACTCCTAAAAGTGTAAGAACACCTACACCTATATCTCTTGCTAAAATTTTAATCAAGTAAACTCTAACTTTTAGATTTTTTTTTAGAAGATAATCAGTCTCATATAAGCAGAGACATGTATGCTTAAATAAGCACAGTTTTTAATATTTTTGTCTCAGCAGCACTATTTGACATATACTCCCAACTTTGTTATCCTAGTATTAAGTTTTGTGTTGTACACGGGTTACCACTTAACGGTAACTCTACTATGCATCATCAGCAAAGAACGAACACTGTTGCTGAAGTGTCAAAAGTATAGACTTCAACTTCTTGTGTTAGGAATTTGTTTTCTAGATTAGCAGTTCTAAAAGAATGGGAAAGAACAGAGTAGTGAGGTTTTACAAAGAAACATTAGAGAGGAGGTGTTCACCTGATAACCCTCCTTGAGACAGGGGGAAGAGCAGCCAGGGAACCAAGCTGGAGATGGCGAAAAGGAGCAAGCGCCAAGGTGCTATGGACTACTTATTATAGATATGAAGTTTTGTATGAAGTAGTCCCATCTACAAACAAATACTCCACGAAAAGACTGTATAATTCAGAACCTGGGATCAGCGTTCAAAATTTAAGACGCTGACTACGGCTGAAGAACAGGATAACCAACCAGCCATTCACAAACCACAAAGAATTTCAGGTGCAATTCCCACACTAAGGATTACCAATTGCAAGGCTGTGCTGGTGAGGACCTAATGTATCATGTGAATTTGCAGATTCAGGCAAAAAAGCCTACTGACCTTGAGACGACAGTATCACCCTTGGAGCCTGGATTTAGACACTCCTTCAATGTACCCTCAAATCCTCAAAGAATAAATTTGGCTATAGTGAGGCTGACATCTACTTGCAAATCTGTCCCTGCCTTTCTCTTCACCACAGTCCTCTGAAGTCCGTAATATTTGGAAGGCTTTGCTGCCATTTTGCCTTTATCCTCTTCTATGATATCCCTCACTTCATTGCACAAACCTTCATTTTACTGGCTATGATAGCAAATGATGCAATTGGAATCACTGGATGCAATCTGTATCAACAGATAAATCAGTATCTTGTTATTTCCCCAAGTCCTGTATAGTTGGTACATTTCGTGTATTTTTTAAACTAAAATACTCAAACTCATGCAACTGACAGTATTTAAAATATGATGAGGTGTCCAAGGCAGAAAAAAACCATTTCAATTTCACAAACTGTGATATGTAGACATTGGAGCAGCTGTGTTTCTTCTATTTCATAGGCTGTATTATTAGGACTTTATCTGCTAAGACTTTACCAAGATGCTTATGAACAGTATTTTCAAGTCGTAGAGAAATCAAGCATTTAACACGAAAGTAAAAGGGGAGAAAATTGAATTTAAAGACACAACCGCAATCTTTAAAGTCGCAGTTACGTATAATCCAAAAGATGGAAAGTGGTGACATTTACAAGAATATCATAGATACAGTTAAGAATTCTATTTCATAAACCATGCAGCATTTTAATGAAAAAAGTTAATTCTCAATGGAATTTTAAAATGTAGATGAAGAAAAATTAACATGTAATTACACAGTTAAATTATCAGCTTTATTTTAAAATCAAAGGAGAGGAGCCTCCTGTATCATTGCTACTTATGGCATCTTTTGTTAGTTTGTTTTATACACTATTTTTATTTCAAGCTAAGATTTCTACATTGCACAAGCATTATCCCAAAATGTTAATCAACCATGCCTCACAGAATTCCCTGGTGATTTGCAGCAAGTGCAGATGCTTCCACTAATACCCAGTCTTGAGCAACTCACTTTTGTTAGATTTCCCAGGATGGTGAGTATGCTTTAGTCTCATCCTTCCATTTCCATATCACCTCTCTTTGATTAACAGAGCTGAGACTGCAGATAGAACTGAGCCTACACATTCAGCTGCATCAGCTATGCACATTCATTTTGTTCAGTATCTAAAATCTGAGTGTTTCTCAAGCTCTGGGAAGCAGACCCATACACCATCACTTCCGATCTTAGCTAAAAACAGAATCACTTTAAATGAATTTTAAGGGCTAACCTACAAAGCACAATTCAAGAACAGCAATGGATATTGAATGGATATGCAGTTTCACTAACTGGAAGTGCAAACTGACAACATTCAGATTAATAGCTGTTATATCAATTAAAAATATCTCTTAAGAAGCTCCCCTGACAAAGCAGCTCCAAAATGCCTTGAACTCATCTATCCACAAATGAAATGACATGAGAAACAAAACAGTAGTGACCATGTTAGATACAGGAGTTCTCAACAACATCTGTCTTGTGAGGGGAAAACAAAACAAAGGCAAGGAAACCTCCAGCCTCCACTGACATCTGATCAAGAAAATGTTAATTCTGCTTTTACAAAGAAGTAGTAGTTGCTGGGGTATATACACTGGCTTTATTAAAAAGATCTGATACAAAATAAAGCCTGAAAGTGTGCAGATGTATTGGCGTGTATATCCCCAAAGACTTTTCAGAAGGGTATTGTCTTGTTCTGTGTTTAACTTTATTTTTAACACTGTTCTCTGGAAAAGGAGTTGGGTGGGTTTTGTTCGTTTCACACAGCTCATTTATACACTCCCGGCTCCAGGGCGACCGTCGGTAGTGGGGGACAGTGCTTACCTGCTGAGCCTGGTACCTCTGCTGGGCCTGCGACAGATATTGTGCCTGGGGTGGTAGATGCTGAGGCTGCGGCTGCTGGTTGTAGTACGGCTGCTGGCCCTGCTGGCAGTAGCCACTTACTCCTTGCTGACCATACTGAGGCGGTATCTGTTGGGAGAGCCAAGCAAAGCAAATGCCTGAGTTGAGGCAGGAGGACATGAAATCAAACTGTGTCACATCTGTGTGGCAACCTGATGAGAAATTATATCCTCGGCTATACACCTGACCCAACAGTTCTACTCCTTTACTCAGCAGTTAATGCAAAGCCCTTCGGTCCTCTTGCCTAAGCAGGAGAAGTAAGCCCGAGTGCTCTGTACAGTTACTCTTTTCAGAAAGAGCTTCTAAGGAAAATGCTATGCTTCTGAACATCACGATCTCGTAATGCCCAGCCTTAAAATACAGAAGCAGTTATTGCAAATTTTTGCTCTCCATAGGCACACTACTGAGGCAAATCGACAGAGGAATCATTCTGATGCGCTGACCCAGAGATGTGGAAAAAAGGCACAACTCTAAATAAACACCAAAAGACAAGTGCCCTTTTTTTGAGCAATAAAGTACTAATTTGTGAAATGTTTTGCCCACAACTCTCCGGTTTTTAGGTTTTGTGTATACATGTACGTTAAAGCTTTACACAAAAAAACCTAGGGTTCGGCAGGTTTGGTTTTGTTGAGTTCCCTCTCTCTCAGTATCTTCCCCCCACTAAGATAGATCTTTTTTAAAAAATAAAAGCAAAACACCAGTGCAACACAAAATAATCTGTTAGAGGTCCTATTAACAGAGAAATCAGCACATGTATCAGCACATGTATCACCCCCCCGCCACCCTGAGAATTTAAGTTACCAGAAGCAAGTCAATTATAAAGTCAGAGGAATCTTCTGGATCAGCTTACTCAGTAAGCTTTGTATCAATAGACACTGACATTTTCTTGAGATATTTGAAAGTGCACGTTTTCAACAAGCTCCTGATATTATGTCTATATTGCCCCTGTTTTAGGTACCTATGTTTTTTCCCTAAACACTGGTACCATTTCAGATGAATGACACATGCAACTTCGGACTTCTTCCATCTAGAATGGATCTCCCATTGGTCCTGCATATCCCTGCCCTAAGCAAATGTCTCAGACACCCAAGCACGTCTGAAATGCTTTCATCTTGGAATTTTTCCCCACTGAGTCTGTGATACACTGATAAATCTGTTTACTCAACATGTAAATATATATCCATTCTAAAGTTAACTTACTACATTCATTCAACAATACAGTAATATTTTGTAGGCAATAAGTAATAAAGTCAAATTTAAACACGTGTGTAGGTTGTTTTTACTATCACAGCTTGATCTGCTCCTATTACTTCTGCTAGAAGTAGGTAGTCCTGCTTCTTGCTAACTCCTAAGGTCAGGGCTGCAACCCCACTTCTGCACTTGTTCTGTTCGCTTGTGCTTCCGTTTACTTCTCCATCATTTCACAGGCAGTTAGATGTTCCTGCGACCAAAGTAACCCTTTTTGACACATACCCTCTCCCTGCTGATGCATAAATGAGGCAGTTATAATGCAAACTAAAAAGGGTGTGTTGGAATATCATCAGGCAAACAGACAGCTGGAGTCTGGGATCTGACAGAAGACCACATGGTGATTTGCCTGTCAGCTGCAAAGGTCACAGAGCCTGGACCGGTTCCAGGAACGCTGAGGAGAAAACCTATGTTGTGGTCCATCTGGGTCCCAGTAACACTAAGAAGAAAAGGACAGATATCTTGACAGCAAGATATGGGCTTCTGGAAAGAAGGAGAAAAAAGAATCTGAATGCCTGGTTGACAGGATGGTGACAAACCAATAGATCAGATTCATCAGGAACTGGAGTATTTCTGGAATAAAGAGTACTTGTACAGGGGGCCTGGAGCTCACCTGAACATAGCAGCGAGGTCACTGGTACCTAAGGATCAAAAAAGTGCAATTTTAAACTGAAGAGTGGGGATTAGAAGAACACATGATTCAAAAGCATGGCATTGCTATGACAAATGGAGACATGGAGATTCTGGGCCATCAAGTGAAGATGCCGAGAGGAATCAAAGCATGAAAAGAGACACACAGATGACTGTAGAGTAAATAGGGTGGCACGGAGAAAATCCAACAATATATTGCCTTCTACACAAAGCGGGGGGAGCAGAAGAAAAACTGAATCACTGGAATGTCAATCCTCAAACAAGAGCACTAGCAGTAGTCTTACCAGAAATCTGGTAGAGGGAAGACAATTAGTGGGTCACTATTTTGCATCATCCCAGGATACAAATACATAGGTAAGACAGCTGATGACAAAGTAACACTGTATGCTACACAGAGTTTAGAAACAAATCAAAACAAAACTCCACCTCACCAAGTAGCAGCGGTCTGGAGCTCGGTCAGATCAGGAAGAGTGCTGGGACCACCAGGCACGGACGGACTATGGCAAGGCTGACAGCAGCGCACCAAGCAAGATCAGCAAAGGCACGGTGCAAGATTGTATAAAGGGCGACTTCAACTCCTCCTACGTAGACTGAGCAAGCGGACTACAAAGCAGAGACCAACATACCAGGTAACTGCCAAAGGTGGTTCCATGGAGCTGCTAGTTAGTGAGGAACCACTGCCTTTGGCTCAGACCTGAGCAGCAGGAACAGCTGCAGAACCACTATGCACCCGTGACCATAACACAGTTAAACCGAGCATCGCTACAGGAACAACGAAAACCAGGGAATCTACTACCGTTGTGCTTAACTTCAAAAAGTGTAACTACATAAAAAGGAGAAAGCTTGTTAAAATGAAGCTCTAAGACAGCTACAAGAAATAAAATCTGACTGGCAGCATCAAAGCTGCTTAACAACCACCACATGGAAAGCACAGAACCAATATTCACCACCTATTAAGAAAGGCTTGAGAAGAGCAAAGGGACATCAGCATGGCTCGCTGCGGTTTTCTAGAAGCAAAAAGGCATCCTTCAATAAGCCAATACCAAGACCAAATAAAGAAAACAGAAAAGACTCTGAACTCCAGCACTTCAAATGTAGTAAGTCAGGCCAGAAAGAGTTGGAGAAACAGCTAGGATAGGGAAAAAAATAAGTAATGAATCATTTCTTCAAACACGTCAGGAGCAGGAGGTCTGCCAGTGATGATCAAGGTATAAAAGGAGATTCAGAGAAATTCAGGGCCACCACAGAGAAGCTTAACAAATTTTTTGCACTAGTGTGCACTGTGGAAGAATCTTGGGAGGTTCCCATGCTGGAGTCCTCCTTTGTGGATAACAACCAATGTGTCTGAATCTGATGGGACTAATCATGGAACAAACTGACAAATGAACAGTGAGAAATGCTCAAGTATCACCCCAGAAGTCAAAACAAATTCAAGAACAAAATAGCTGAATTACTAATGATGGTACACAACCTGTAACTTGGACCTGCCATGGTGGGTGAGAATTGGAGTATGACTTTTTTTTTTTTTTTTAAACAGACATTTGAGTAATTTAAGACTATAAAGGACTGATGACTGTTCCGGATAAATCTGTACAGGCAAAAATGAGGATCAGAATTAGGAAACATCAGCACAGCTTTTTGCAAAGGAAAATGCTTCTCTACAGACTTCCTGGATTTATTAGGAAGGGTCAAACACAAAGGTTCAGAGAAACGTAACTAGAATGATCAAAGGTATGGAACAGTTTCCGTACATGGAAGCTGTAACACTCTGAGTATGGAAAAGACACGTGGAAGTAAGAATATGATAGAAAGCTACAAAACCATCTTGTCCAACACAAGAATTAGAAGACATTAAATGAGGCTGGTAGAAGCTAGAAGCAAGAATCAAGATGAGAGAGAAGGTTGTCTAGTCACAGAGGTAGCAGACTTTTGAAAGTCCTTGCCAAATGATGTTTTGAAAGCTGAAAGTTTATGTGGGCTCAAGCAAAGACTGGACAAGTTCACAGAAGATACACCCTCTGAGAGTTACCAAATATACAGAGCCACATCTGGCTCAGAAAGTCCCTGAACTGAAAATAGCTGGAGGCTTGGAGAGTATTGGGGGAAGTATCACATGCTTGCTTTGCTCTGACTCTTCTTCAGGCATCCAGTGAAAGCCTCCACTGGAGGCAGGACACAGGGCTGCGTCAATCCTTGATCTGACCTGACAGAGCCATGCCTACGTTCTAACCACTTTCTCGCAATACATATTTGTGTCCTGTAAGAAAGCAATGAAAACTTGGTCTGCGAGGTACTAAGTAACAGATGTAAGCAACATGAAGAGGCAATAACACTTTGACAACCAGAAGCTGGGAGACTGTTCCGATTTCTTAAATGTTTTCTCTAGCAATCTACTTCCAGACACTAGTGTAAAAAAAGGTACTGGGTTCTCCTTCTGACCTTATGTATCAGTTGCTTATGTTGGAATTTTCCTCCATATTCTACCAATCCAAACTGTTTTTAAAAAATCAACAACAAAAAAACACAACAAAGAACACAAAAATAATCCTGATGCTACATGTACTTTTAGATTATATACTCTTCAGTGCAGAGGCCCATCACCACTGCCTTAGCTGAACACCCAGTGCAATTTCTGTTATTTATTTAAATAGCCACAAACAACAACATGCAAATTAATCCTCCTGCTTTACTGATGGGGATCACAGGATACCGCTTATGGACAAATGTTTATTAAACAGCATATAAAAAAGCTTAATTAAAATCTCCCCAGAACAAAACAAATCTGAAGCCAATTACTTACAATGCTTGGAGTGAATGACCCAAGCATCCTCTTTCTTCATAAGGTAAACCCTCCCTTCATTTCTCCCTTACACCCACATTCTTCGTGGCCACACAACGCAGGAGATGAGAATTTGGGAAACTTCAGCATGCCTGTGGTAATGCACACATTCTTGGGATGGTTCAAGAGAGAACAGACCCGAGTTTGAATCTATTTCTAGGCAAGCACAGAAACTAATAATTACTTTGCCTCCTATCTGACTTGCATAGTGCAAACTGCATTATTTTAGGAGAAGTATGACTGACCATCAGTGATTAAACCACTCTGAACATGAACAAGGAAAGGATGAGAAAAAAAGAGGAACAAAATTGGCAGCCAGAATGAAGAGATG